GATTCTACAGAGTAAATATAATGTGTGTTTTGGGGGAAGAAGTACAGGGTTAAAGTGGATTTAGGTTCATTAAATTTGATTTCTTGACAAGATGTGAAGAAATCAAATTGCTATTGTGATGAAATTTTCAAGCTTTTAGTCATTTTTCTCTTTTTGGTTGCGTTTGGGTCTCTTTCCTTTCTATTGCAATAATATTTAAAGTAACAATCTTCCGGCTATACTTGACATACTTGTTAAAACAAGGCATATCGGCTGGCAAACTGTTAGCTTGCGAGCGCAAACGTATTTCCGGCTGTCGCCTGTCTCCGCTGACAAGTGACAACCGGAAATACGTCTGCTTTCGTAAACTAAGAAACTGTCTCTCTCAATACAAAGTGAATCTGAATGGCGCTCACACAAACCGTGCAAATATAATTATATTAGAAAAGTGAACATATTGGACGCACACTTCGGGAACCAATTACAAGTTCTTAATGACTGTTCTATATTGTTGTTTATTTCCGAAGTAACTGGTCAAGCGAGATCAGTCAGTCTCGAGTCAAAATTGTGGCCAGGTTTAGTTGAGAATTGGACTGGATTGGATGATAAAGTTCGCGACGTCCGGACATCAACGAAAATTTACGAATACGTAACGAGGAATACCGAGTCAAAGCGATTAAAAACTACCAAGGAGGAACGAAAACAGAAAGAAACAATAATGGCGAATTGCGGTGAGGTGAAAACAAAGTAAGTACCTACACGTACCACAGCAAATGCAGACGAATATTCACGAGTACCAAACGAAGATTGACGAGTAACAACCGAGTATACAGCGATTACAGCCGAGCCTTTACTGGTAGCAAACAAAGACTCGAGAGTGAGCCTTGAGATTAAAACCAAGCATTTACGCGGAGCTAACGAATAGAAAGACACAGAACAGATGAAAAACACAGCTTCAACAGTGATCACAAAGTCTGAGTGGAACTAGGACAGCGCCAAAAACATCAAATAATTAAAGCCAAAGTTGTGTTCCATAAGTAATAACCCTTTATTTATTAAAATTCGCCGCTAAAATATAATTTTTCTTTTTTTCTTACTTAACTACCTCTTTTATGTCAAAGTATTAACATTTATATATCTCTTTCGTTTGATCTCGTAAAAAACATTTACCCCATAAGAAAAACTAGAATAATTTTTGTACAGTTAACTATTCTAGAAATATAAATTTAGCCTCAAAAGGACGGTGTATTTTACGAGACCAAGCGAATTCCTCTCTGACTTTAATTTCCTATTTGAATATTCCAAAAATTCCTATACCAAAAGTGTTTCATTTATGGCACGTGATATCGATTTATACGCTTTACCAAATTGTGAAAAATATTCAATTATATTATGCTTTATATGACATTTCTCTGTTAAATTCATTGAATTGTTTGTTTTGGTAATATCTTTGATATCCCTAAATTGGTCAACTAAAATGTTAATAAYCAGTTTAAATGAAGACCTGAGTCAACGAGGGCATCCACGCATCCACACACGAGAGAAAAGCAACTTTTTTTTAAGTAGTCTCTTTGGCACAACAAACGCTTTTTTAGTTAAGAAAAACAAACGAACGCAAACGTTGAATTAAAGAATTACCGGCAGGTAAACAAGTGTAACTTAATGCCCTCGACTGAAAGGCGAATTTAAGTTTTGTTGTTACGTTTGATGTCTTTATCAAGAATACTATTTTTATTCAAAACTACTTAAAATAAAATGAAACTGCTAAACGATTCAGCTTGAACATACAAGACGCGGCTGTCAAGCGCGGGGAACTCGGTTAGCCAATCAGGAAATAGAAAGTGGCCCTAAGCGCGGCAAAATGCAGTTAGCCAATCACAGACTAGAAAGCGGCTGCCCTAGTTCACTCAGACATGACATGTAAACTTTAACACAAACTCTAACTAAAACATTAGCACAACACTCCATTGTCTCTATCTAAAATAACAACACATGATCAGACATAAGGCAACTCGTCACACCGAAAAGAAATTCGTCCTTCTCGTATCAAAACAACGCGCCCCCACCCTTCCTTCCCAAAATATAATGCTATACGAAATATATGACAACCAATACTTGCCAATTTTGATATAGAAAATAGTTTCTCTTGAAACGCGAACAGGTAACGCAACTTTGTAGCTGTTATAAACACATCTCGACTTTACTCTCCTCTTCTGAATTGGGAGCAATCACCACTGCAACTACTTACTATAGAGGAGTATTGATCCTAACAAAATGATGTAGTGATCGTAACTGAAGCCTAAACTAAATAGAGAGTTAAGGCAATTC